CAAATTATAAAACAGATATAGAATGGACTTCCCTGGTGAGGGCCTCTCTTTCCATATCTCCACGAAGCATAATTTGAAAACCTGGAATAATGGAAAGAGCACGTGACCAGGAGTAAGAATCACAGTCACTCAATTCCACTCAATAATTCAGCTCAATATAACAGTTACTGAACATGTCAGTGTGCCAAGCATTACAAATGCTAAGGAAAAAAGACACTCTAGAAACTTAACTTCAAGTGTAGGAAAAAGCAGATATAGGAAAAAGTGTAGTAAAGCATCGTAGATGCTTTGGCAGATTTCTAAACAAGGCCAGTGTTACTTGTCAACCACTCTGGGCCTTGTTTTCTATAAATTTGAAATAAATAACTTGGAACAAACTACATATAGAATCTAACCTCTTTGAGGAGCGCCTGGGTGGCTCAGTCGGTTAAGCATCTGACCCTTGATCTCGGCTCATGCCTCAATCTCAGGGTCATGAGTTCAAGCCCTGCATTGGGCTCCACACTGGGCATGGAGCCTACTTAAAAAAAAAAAAAAAAAAAGAATCTAACCTCTTTGAGATGCAAACTTTACGATTCTGTCACTCTGTGCCATTGACTTTGGATCACAAGGAAAAGCCATTGGAAATGGACATGAGGAAATAAATGGAAGTTCAAGGTGGCAGCATGTGTATCTTTGAAATTTAAAGTAAAGTATGTCATTATAGTCAGAGAGGCAGGAGTAAAAAAATAAATACAATGTATGGTTGCTAAGGAACAGAAGTATGCAGTATCATCTTCAGCTTTTCCATAATATTCCTCCTACCTCCATGACTCATGTGAAAGCTGGCCTTACCCTGCTCACAAAATGCCCTTCTCCAATGGAGGCCTCTCCTCCTACCCCATCCCCAACCTAGTTTCACAGGACCAGGGGAAGAGTTGATAAACTGTACACACGGAGGGGTAAAAAGAACATAGGTGGTTTGTATTTCTTGTACAATGTGTACTTTGTGGGAAATAAATGTGCTCCATGATCCATTTCCACAGACAATTAGTGTTAACACTTTGGTAAATATTCTTTTGGACACTATGTATATAGAACTATCATATATCGGATTCATCTAGCTACTTATATATGCACAATATATAAACATTTATATATATATACAATATATACTATAAATTTCTGTATCTTCATCTACATCTCTATTTATAGTGACACATCCTTCTAAGTGAAATGGCTTTCCCTTTATACATGTTCATTTTTAAAGCATTTTCACTTTTACATTAAGGCAGTTTAATATGCTCCCTGTCCTCTTTACCATCGCATGGTCTCTGTCACCCTGCTCACTCTGAGCCTTCGTTCCTTAGTCCTTCCACGTTAGTTCATGCCAAACCTTTCACCACCAATTACAATAAAATGACTAATGATTGCTTGTCACTTTCACGGCTTATAATTTTTTTATAAGTCACTGATTCATGGAGTCCTTCAGAGATGCCTGCCTGTTCTTGAAATTCTTATTCCCATTCTTCAGTCTTGAACTGGATGTCCACTCAACCCCTTTTCTCATCCTTTGCTATCCAGAAAGGGGTCAAGTGCAGAGAATGCTTCTAGAAGAACAAAGTGCCTGAATTGAGGCCGTAAAGCATTTAGCCTCTCCATCTCACATTTCTATCATTTGGAGCCTGCTCTTTAGTCTGTGGGGCAAAATGTGAGCCAGTGGGACAAATCTTGCTGATGACTCAGGGCAATGTGATGGTTTATTTGATTGTGTTTTATTGGAATTTGAATGGGTTTAGATGGACTGAGCACTTAGTAGTTTAGAGTAAGGCTCAGCCTTTCCTGCTGTATTTCTATTAGGCCACACGTGTACCTACCTACCTGAGAGGACCTTGAGGTCACTTCCACTGGGTGCTTCTGCTTTGCTCTTTTTCTCAGGTCTTGGCATATGTAAAAACCCCTTCTTCTTTCCATGGCTACTTGATATATTTGTGTCAGGGTACTGCGCAAACCTCCTTGATGCTCAGCCGACTCTTCAGGTCTAGTCTAATTGCCCGAGTTCATAATTTGGGTTTGCATCTTTTCTAAAACTGGCTGTGCAGTGAGATACGGTCTTTCCAGCATCCCACTTCCTTTTCAGGGCCTCACTGCAAGCTCAGAGCCTCCTACTGTAAACCTGGGAGAAACTACCGGCTTGTCGTAATGATTGAGTCCATTGGTAATGTTAATCACTTGGTATTTTCAAAATTACTTACTTTCTAAAATCTGGTCTTTGAGGAATAATTTACATTAAGTGAAATCTACAGATTCTAGGTGTATTTTGATCACCTTTGAAAATGACAGGGGTGCCTGGGTGGCTCAGTCAGTTAAGTGTCTGCCTTTGGCTCAGGTCATGATCTGAGGGTCCTGGGATTGAGCCCCGCATCGGGCTTCCTGCTCAGCGGGGACCCTGCTTCTCCCTCTCCCACTCCCTCAGCTTGTGTTCCGTCTCTCTCTCTGTCAAATAAATAAATAAAATCTTCAAAAAAAAGAAAGAAAAGAAAATGACATAAACTTGTATAGCCACATCTCCTGTTAAAATATAGAATATTTTCATAACTTCCATGCCACCTGCCAGTTACCACAGCCCCAGAAGCAACCACTATTCTAATTTTTCAAAGTTAGCTACTTTTATTATTAATTTTGTTTTATTAAGTTTAGTAGGGATTAGTAAGTGGTAATTTCCTTCCTTCTTTGATGTTTGGCATACTGATTTTTTTTTTTTTTTAAGAGAAAGAGTGGTTGGGGAGGGGCAGAGGGAGAGGGGGAGAGAGAATCCCAAGCAGGCTCCACACTCAGCACAGAGCCTGACACAGGGCTTGACCTCACAACCCTGAGATCATGACCTGAGCCGAAATTAAGTAGGTCACCTAAATGACTGAGCCACCCAGGCGCCCCAGCATACTGACAAATTACTATACATACCCTCTTTCTAACTAAAAATTTTTAAAAGTGAGAATATTGATTCACTTGAGAGTTTAAATTATCTGTGAATAAAATAAATATATCTCAAGCTGAGAATGGATTTTTAACACAAAGCCTAGTTTATTATTGAAATTCAAAGTAAAAACATTTGTGAAAGTTATAATTACACCAAAGCCAGTTTTCAGGCTCACAAAACCAAGATTACCTTTATTTCTTAGATTATCTGGGAGATGCTTCTAGACAAAGTTTATGCTGGAAGATAAATTAAGAAATGACTACATGATACATTTAAACTTTAAACCTTGACTGAGATCAGTGATAACTAGAATTTTATTGCACATTCTATGTCATGTACTGTATGAAAGACTTTAAGTCCCAGGCTTATAATTACTGAATGTTATAGTTGCTTATTTAACACAATGCTTTTTGTCCCTTCAGTTTTCCTTCCATAATAAATTATTTCTCTGTGTCTTTCTTTCAATATACTTCCTTTATGTTCCACTTATTTTTTAAGTTCTAGATCTCCCTGTTGGAAGGAATGATTATGGCCAACTATTTTTTATAGCAGATCCAGTATTTGGAAAACCTCATTTATCTTCCTGTCAGTGGAGCTTGGCTATCTCGATTCTTTTAGTCTTATCTACTCTCTTAAAATTTTATAGAAAATCAGTAGATAGCACGTATAGTAGGCCTGGGGGGGGAATTAAAAATATGAAGACTATATGGACAATAACTAGCAAGAGTTTCAGTCCTGACTGCCATTTATTGGCTATATGATCTCGGACACAGTAAGTTTATACCTTTGTTTCAAAAATCTGATGATAGTAATACCTGCCATATCTACTTGTGTTATGAAAGTAACAAAATTAAATCATATGTGAGAAATCTTCGTACATTTTGAAGTGTAATAAAAATGTAAGTTAATGTGATTATGAACATTGTATTTTCTAACCAATATCAGGGCTGATTTCTAATTATAAATAAAAAAAGACAACAAAACCTCAGAATCATCTTCCCTGGCATTCTTTTGCATTGAAAGCAGGAAGAGAATAAATGCAGACTGAGAAGAACACCTCATTCCTTTGCTCTATACTGCTTGTGATGGTGGTGGTGTTTTTCCAAAAGCATGTGTTTCTGTTTGCACTATAATTTTTCCTTCATTATAACTCTTATTACAATGTAAGTTAACTTTATTTAGATGACTGTCTCTCTCTACTAGATAAGTAGATCCCTGAGGTTAGAGTGCCTTGCCCAAAATAAGAGAACAGCAAATGGATGGATGGATGGATGGATGGATGGATGGATGGATGGATGGTTAGATGGACAAATGATACCACAGTTTTTAAGAATGCACCTGTGAGGTCTTAATGATGTTTGCAAAGTCTTGAATTCTGTAAGGTGAAGCCCACTTACTAGAAAGAAAGCGATTTTTCTCTTAACTGCTTACACAGAAAATCCAGTTAATGGTTCAGGCATTTCTTTATTTTTCCATTGAGTCCTCTCTAGTCCATGCTGAGTTCACCTAGAATATTCACCCAGGAGTGCCTTCTCTCGTCTTTTTCTTTTCCACCATGGTAACCTTGTGTTTTTCCTCTCTCTCTCTCCCACCCCATTGCTTTCTTGATCCTGGAGGAGTAGCATCTAGTCTTTATTGTCATTCCTGACTGGAGAAGTCTTTCTTTAGGTCTTTTATATGATTTTAAAGGGGCATATGCAAGTCAAAAGGGACAATATATATTACCTCACTAATATTGACCTTCTCTTATAGCATCACTTTGATGGGCCAGGCTAGCAAAGGCCTATGCTTATTTAATCCATTGGAAAAAAATTACTCTCTAGGAGTTTATGCTGACAGCAGTGTACAGAGACAGGGAGAATAGGATGAGGGAAAAACAAAAGTCCAATTATATAAATTTAATACAAATTTATTTTAATAATTTAATAATATGGTAGAAATGCATTAATCCAAAAAAAAAAAGCAATGATGAAAGAATGTGATGCGGTTGGGAGAATAATAATAATGATAATGATAATGATAATAATATTATCATCTATAGCCACAGTCTTCTTGGAGTTTTGGAAAAGGAGAAGAAGTACACTGACCTATACTTGGGACCTTATTGAATGGGAAGAAGAGGAGGTAAGATGTTAAGAAACCAGGTGACAGGGAAACTGGGATAACATATGATGCAGAAAATTATTCACTGTCCTTAACATCCAAGCTGGAAGCAGCTAAACACCATTAGGTTTTCCTTTGATTTTTTTTACACAGGATTTCTTATTTCGTGAAGTTAAGACATCATTGATGAAGTAATGTAATTTTTTTCAAAGCACTTCCATGATATTTCTTAAAATTACATTAGTGGAAAATTGTGTTAATTAAAATATAGTTCAGGGTTTATTTGGAAAATAATTTGCATTTTATTTTTTAAAAGTTACTTCTTTCCCAAGACTTGCTATAAAAGTAGGCCAAAATCCAGGAATTTTGTTCCAACTGTTGGATGATTTTTTTTTTTAATTTATGACTTTGATAGGTAGGTAACTTTAGTTTCTCTTACAGGAAACACTTCGTCCCCAGTTTGAAGCCAAGTATTACAAGATGGAGAGAGTGAATCCCATCAGTGGAAAACCTGAGCCACATCAGCCTTCCTCAGACAAAATCACTCGTCTTCTTGTTTCTATCTCAGGAATATTCTTCATGGTAAAGTACAACCATCAATATCAGAATGTTGTGGAATTCCACATTTAGAAGGAAGTTCTAAGATAACAACTCATTTTGTGACCCTCAGGATCAAAGCATATCCAGTTCAATACATTTAATACATACTATTAAACAATAGTATCATGGCAAGTCATGGAGTGATTACAAAGAGAGTTTGGGCATATCTTTAAATAAATACTCTTTGGAAGAAACAAAGACCATCTAAGATAAAATGGAAATTATATGAGTTGCCCTGATGAATTAAAACTAAGCATTCCACTTGAAAGTGGAAATTTGAACAGTTTAAATCTTATAACATGTATTTTGACTCTAATGTAACTCAATTCCTTAAAGGAAAAAAATTGAATTTATGTATCCTTTCTTGGAAAAGCAAATTCCTTTAGCTCTGAGGCGGGGGTAGGGGGGTGGGGGGGTGGGGCGCAGTATCTTGGTCTATGGTATTGCTTTTGTTTTGTCAATTATGCAAAATACAGATGTCTTCTCTGGTCTCCCATATTGTAGATTTCTTTGGTGATCACTGCAGTGTTTGCTGTTGTGGTGTATCGCCTAGTTGTCATGGAACAGTTTGCATCATTCAAGTGGAATTTCATCAAACAACACTGGCAGTTTGCAACATCAGCTGCTGCTGTCTGTATCAATTTTGTAATCATTATGGCCCTGAATCTTGTAAGTGTTTACAGTTTTCAAAAGGTTAAAAGACATGGGTAGGGGAGAGGTCTGTGTTTCCTTCATGCTTGGATTGTAATTACAGGAAGACAAAATGAGCCCAACCCACATTTTCATCAATGGCAACTCAGTTTAGTGGAAAAAAATTCATCTATGTGGTTTGGATGATGGGTTTCTTTAAATTAAAATCAATAACAGTTGTACTGTCTTCCTTGTCCTTTGAGTTTATAGTCTTGATGAGTGAAAATTTCCATTCATTGAGTGTCTGGTGTGTGCTAGAAAAAGTGCTATGCTCTTTTCATTCAAATAAGGGATTTTTTTCATTCAAAAAACTGAACCTCAGGGGGGAATCTGTTACAAAAGTATAGGAAAATCTTTCGAAATAGAAGGCTTGTTAGTTCTAAGGCCTCATGTGAAATAGAAAATAGACAGCTACTCCATTTTTCTTTCTCTGGGTCTAAGCATTTTTCTCCTTCCTTCCTCCCTCCCTTCCTTCCTCCCTCCCTCCCTTCCTTCCTTCCTTCCTTCCTTTTTTTTTTCAGTACCTTCCGTTTGCATGTCTGCTCTGTTCTATCAGGAAATGTCTGTCTTTGCTTAACCATGACCCGTCTTTCTTTCATGCTGTGGTATTGCAATGATTTTGTTACCTTCTTTGGTTCTAACTATGCGACCATGTTGGTTTCTATAGCCTATTTAACTGAGATCATCCAGTATTTCAATGTACTAATTTTTCAGAGAGAGCTTCTGATCACATACACTGATTGACTCGTGAACTCTAGGGCTGAGAGGGCATTATTGTGTCTACATAGGCCCACATCTTCAGCAACGTCTATGGGTGGGATCCTATCTTCTCTGAAGACAAAAGGCATTGATTGGCACATTTAGGGTAATAATCTCTTTCCTTTAATTCTTCCAACAATGCCACAAGGCCAGTATCTGGAGAGCTTAAATAACTTGCCCCAAATCAGACATACACTAATTGTTAATGCTGATATATTTACATCATGCAATGTCTGAAGATAGCTAAGCAATTCACAAATAATGATGTTTATATTATGTACAAGTAATGTGCATTTGGGGTCTATATGTGGTTTGACACTGATGTTACATGTGTAGCCTGGAGAGGGCTAGGACCATTTAAAATAATCAGAAAAGTGAAAAGTCACTATGGTAAATGTTTTAACGCAAGGATGATAGTTAATATCTCCTACTGGAGTCTGCTTTCTTCAGATTTGTTTTGCTTTGTAGAAGGAAACTACTGTTCGCAGTATCTCCAAATAAACCACACAATATTTTAAATTTATGTCCTTGACTCATAGATTAAAGTAAATAAGAAACATTGAAAAAATATAATACAAGGATGGGCTGGCATGGCTGGTAGTGTGTGTAAGGTACTATAGGTTGCACATTACACAAAGTCCCCACATTGATGGGGGAGCCATTCACAGAATAGATATTGTAGATTTTTATATTTTACGGTTATACTCTTCTGGTAGATTGTGAAAGATCTTGTTTCTAACACAATCGTTTATGACAATTTTCCAGTAAACAGAGGTTATTTGGGTTGGCTTCATTATCTGAGGAAAGGAGGCTAAATAGTTGATGTGTTTATTTCTAGGTAACAATAGCAATCAACCAGTCTGATCTTAAATGGACGCAATTTCTTATCCATAGTCGGCTGGTTGACATAAAAATGACTGGTCATAGTCCTGCTATCTAGGATCTTATAGTCTAGTGGAGACATAGGACACAATGAGGAATGAATGCATCATAGTTGAAGCACAAAATGCTCTGAGTAAAATGGGAAAGAAGCTATCAATTGTATGTGAAATGGGGAGGGGGAGTCATGATGATGTATCAGAAGACTCAAAGTAAAGAGGAGAGGGTACTTACTCTGATGAGCCAAGAAAGAGCAGAAAGTGGACTGTCATTTGAGGAAATTTAACCCACAAATGTACAGAACCACAGAAGTGCATGTTCTTTGTCCTAAGGAAATGGTGAGGAGTGTCTATAAAACATAAATTTATGGGAGAATGAGGAAAAAGAGATTAGAAAAGTAAATTAGTGCTTCACTGTGGAGATCTGGAATACCATGTAAAGAATTTGGACATCATTTTTTTCCTTATAGGCAGTGGGGAGCCAATATAATATTATTATTATTAATATAATATATTAATATAAAATAAAATAAAATATAATATATTTATATATTTTAAATATATTTTATTTTAAAAATATATCTGATAAAGATAGTATCAAAAACCAAACTAAAGAGCAATTATAGCTACACAGGTAAAAATCCCAAGTACACAGAAAAATGTTATCAGGAGCTCTACACTCAGCGTGGAGCCTCCTTGTCCCTCTCCCTCTGCTCCTCCCCTGTCCCCTGCTTGCGTGTTCTGTCTCTCAATAAATATATAAAATCTTTTTTAAAAAATTTAAAAAATGTTATCAGGAGTTATCTCTGCAAAGTATAGGTGATTTTTCTTTACATATTAAACATGTAGTTTGCATTTTCAAATTTTTTACAATAAGCCCATATACCATTTAAAACTAGGAAAAGGTAAACATTTGATATTAATTTCTGATATTTTAAAGAAATCAATGATGGCAGTCCGAGATTTGTGTAGAAGGATAGGATTTTTATTGTATTATTACTTAGAGTAGTAAAAATTGGTGAGAGACCCCCTAAATGAACAACTATAAGAGAATATTAATTCAAATTCTATATAATGGAGCATCATGTACCCAATTAAAATGCTATTCTAATATTATTTAAGGACAGGACATGCAGTTACATAAAAAGGATATATAACTACACTTGATTCCCATTGGAACACATCTGCATTTTGAAACTATAAGGAGTAACAATAAAATGTTAACAGTGGTTATCTCTCAGTAGTGGGATACTATTTGATTTAATGTAACTTTTTTGGGTTCTTTCAAATATTTATCTCTATATGTAGACTTTGATTTATAATCAGAAAAAAATAACCTTTACTTTTAAAACATTCTACCATGATATAAAGTTTGGAATAAATTAGAAATGGAATGTACTTTATTTTTACTCTATATATGAGTCAGCCATATAACCACAGCCACCAAGATGGCAACTTTGGCTCACTTTTTAAATTTGGTCTTTCACCAAGTAGAGAAAAGGTTTATCAGTGGGCAAGCAGCATGCCTGAACTCGTGCACACGTGTGCACATGCGCGCGCACGCACACACACACACACATACACACACACTATTCCTACGTGAGCCCTCTCCCTTCCCTTGCCCTCCTAATACTGCCCAGGCTCTCATCACTTTGTGGTGCCAGTTGCTCAACTTAATGTCCTGATAAAAAGCAGTGGACATTGGATGCAGGCAAAGCAAAGATTTGCTCTTGATCTGTGTGATCCTGGCCATACTATATAATGTCTTTGAGTTTTAATTTTTTTGATCTTTCTTTTTTTTTTTAAGATTTTATTTATTCATGAGAGACAGAGAGAGAGAGAGAGAGAGAAGCAGAGGGAGAAGCAGCCTCCCAAGGAGCAGGGAGCCTGATGTGGGACTCGATCCCAGGACCCCGGGATCATGACCTGAGCCGAAGGCAGACGCTCAACCATCTGAGCCACCCAGGCGCCCCTTTTTTGATCTTTCATATGAGGGTGATTAAACTAATGCATAGGGGTACTGAAAGATTAAATGAGATCCTCTAACAAATAAATGGTGCTCAATAAATGTCAACCTTTTTCCTATTTGCTTCTCTTCAATTTTTAAAAATTATTTCTCTTTAAATCCTCCTATTCTCTTTCTTGCAAAATACCAACATGTTCTTTATTTTTTTTTGCTTTCTCTTCATCTTTAAATCATAGAATTTATTTATTAACCTTCAGTCCCAGTTATCAAAATGTCAATTATCATTTCTTTGGTCTGTCTGAATTCTTCAGACCACATCTGCATTTATTTATAATTTCTTCATTCTTTTTTCTTTAATTGTTACCTGTTGCCCATTTATAAATTTTTAAATACTCAGAGTTGTCTGTAGAAAGAGAATCACATCTAAGATGTTGTTTATGTCTTTTGATCAAATTTATGTTTAAACTATAAGAAAATTTGAAATATTTAATTAGTTCTTGCAAAAATCCTACCATCATATTAATTTTCAGTAGTCTTACTTGTTTTTATAATGTATTTTCTTCTTTCTGAAATTTACTATTTTTATCTTTTTTAGTTTTGCATTATAAAATCAATACATTGTTATTATATAAAGCACTAACAGTATAAAAACATTAAAAATATTAAGAAAAGTCACTATTTTCTACCCAAAATGCCACTCATGTCCCTTCCTATCATAAACTAATTGTACCCATTGGAGGTAATCAATGTTAATGGTTTCATGTCTATTTTTTCCCCTCGCTATCAATCATTAGTGTCTTCAAAAGAGTACCCTGTGTTCCTGGGTTTGACAATTTGTTCCAAAGAACTCCTGATCTTCAAAAACATCTTAAGTGAATTATGAACTAGCCTAATATTTTTGAAGATGGAATGTATTTCATAGGGAAAATGAAGAAGCCAAATGTGTTTTAATTAACTTTTGCTTGGGAAGGCAAACATGACAACTCTGGGAACAGAATCTCCCAGTCCAGGATTCAATCCTTGGTTCCTGCCCAGGGAAATAGCTATCTTTTCACTTCAGCTGAAGAGCATGTCATGATCAGAACCTGTAATTGAATAAAACAGGAGCTTTCACCTTTCTTTTTTTTTTTTTTTAATATTTTACTTATTTATTTGACAGAGAGAGACATCGAGAGAGGGAACACAAGCAGGGGCAGAGAGAGAGGGAGAAGCAGGCTTCCTGCTGAGCAGGGAGCCCGATGCGGGGCTCAATCCCAGGACCCTGGGATCATGATCTGAGCCGAAGGCAGATCACGCTTAACGACTGAGCCACCCAGGCGCCCGAGCTTTCACCTTTCTTACATTTCCTTACCAAAGGATTCTTTTTATTTTCACTG